AGACGAGGAAGAGATTGAGGAAAGGTAAGTTCGGCATGACAGTGCCGCTTTAAGAAGACATACCTAATTTTATCATGTGACTCATTTCACAAGGTTGCATAGAAAATGCAGCACATATAATAGGTGGGGTTGAGTGTGGCCCCATCCCTGGTGGCTCATTCACCTCCAAGGTCCCATGGTGCTGAAAAAACAAAACTCCAGTGATGTTCAAACACATCTTCACGGTTTCTGAAACAGTTGCTGCGACCAGGAATATGGTTTCACAATGCAGGTTGGCACTGAAGTGACTGTTAAACCTGGAATCCCATTTAAAGCTGTTATAGAGGGAAAGATTTCAATCAACACGAATACTTCTGATACACTCATGGGCCAGAAGTACTCCTGTTCATCAAAATATTCCCCTCCAGTTATAAATTGGATTTCAGTATTAATGGTCACCTTAGCGCCAACCTGCACTGTGAATCCATGGTCCTGGCTGAAGATGCTGGCCGCAATATGATCCAGCCCTGGGCTTTGAAGTAAATTTTAAAACGCTTTGCATCCTCCCAAGCTTGTCCATCAGTGTACATTTACTGATACTCACACCACTCTCTCTCACTACCCCTTTGAAGACTGTGGATATCCTGAATGATACAGGACACTTGTCATTGTAATGGAGTGTCTATAAAATAAAATCCCTCTTTATGGACAAGAGGTAATAAACCAAGTGGGACCTGTGATATGGCTAGGCCCTGTAATATTTGTTTCCAGTGGCCCCATCACTAAGGGTGGCCCTGGCCAAAGCAATGTTGATGTGAAAGATGCATTGAATACGCGGTTACAGGATGCCCTGACCTCAGGTCAAGAGTTGAGCAGGTGAATGTGAGACTAATGGACCAGTAACCTATAAAGTCTTGCTCCAAATTGCTTCTCTGTAGTTCCAGTAACTCCTCCCCTTGCTCTATATCACCTGTCTCTTTAGCTCCTCCCACGACTCTATATATAACTTACTTCAATTTTTTTTCTGAAGTCTTGCACTGTTTTGACTTGGGTAAATAAGCCTGCAGGATTTTCGTTACTAGAAGCACATTATTTCTGCAGCTGTTCCACAATCAGCAGCTGTTGTCTGTCAAAAGTTTGAAGGAAATATTTGTGCAGGAGCATGCAGTTGCTTGTAGGTTTATGATTGTATGATATTCACTTTGCTAATGTAATCAGTCTTAAAATTCAGCTAGTACATGAGCTATTTATTAAGATAATTTCATTTTAAAAGGTTGGATCGGAAACATACTTTAGACCGCACGCCCTTGAGCAAAACAAATCAAATATATCTTGTTTTGCTCATCATTTACTTCCAGGTTATTCACAAAAGTGTGAATTATAAGGAATTAAATTAAAGGATCTTAACATGTATAGCTTGGACGAAAGACGAGACAGGGGGGATATGATAGAAACATTTAAATATACAAAGGGAATCAACACAGTAAAGGAGGAGACTATATTTAAAAGAAGAAAAACTACCACAACAAGAGGACATAGTCTTAAATTAGAGGGACAAAGGCTTAAAAATAATATCAGGAAGTATTACTTTAATGAGAGGGTAGTGGATGCATGGAATAGCCTTCCAGCTGAAGTGGTAGAGGTTAACACAGTAAAGGAGTTTAAGCATGCGTGGGATAGGCATAAGGCTATCCTAACTATAAGATAAGGCTAGGGACTAATGAAAGTATTTTGAAAATTGGGCAGACTAGATGGGCCAAATGGTTCTTATCTGCCTTCACATTCTATGTTTCTATGTGTCTATGTTTCTATGAATTCAAAGTGATTTTCAGAGTGAATTTAATATGTTAGGCCTAAATAGCTAAAAACTTTTACTTGGAGATATTTTTTCTAATTCAGCCATTTTTGTTTTACATGTTTTTTTATTTTTTAGCGTAGCATAAAGTCTAGTACGGTACACTTATGACAATCGAAATGCGTTTGCCTACGCAGAGGCTTAGTTCAGTCGTGGAAAAGCATTGTACAACAGTAGGCTGTCAAATGCATCAAAACAAATCAACGGTTCCAATATAGCGGTAACTAATTGAACTCTTTACATCTAATGGTTATAAATTGGCTGGTAATAATGAGAATTAGTATTATAAGCTCCCTGGGCAACGGTTAGGCGAGAGCATGTGTACGTTCAACCCCGCCAAGTGGGCTTCAATAGCAGATAAAGGCATATGCATTAAGATACATTCACACGCATGAGAATTACATTAGTGCTTATGATATAAACAAAATAAAAAACGTTATTGGTTGCGGTGTTCTCCTTAATTCAGTGTTTTTTTATAGAGAGCAAAAAACAGGTCGCAAGAGAATACTGAGAACGGGCAGCAGCTGAAATAGCCTGCCCTTCGGTGGGTCCCCGCTCAGTTCTCAAGCTGTGTTTGGATTATCTTGTGCCATTACAGAGGGAACATCTCTGAAACATATCAGACTGGTCCCACCCATACGGGCAGTCCAGATCCAAAATGCCAGCAAGTTCCCTCTGCACGAGAGATACAGCAACCCCATGATATTCGCTTTGCTAACGCAATCAATCTTAAAATTCAGCTACTACATGAGCTATTTATTAAGATAATTGAATTTAAAAAGGTTGGATCGGAAACATACTTTAGACCGCATGCTCTTGAACAAAACAAATCAAATATATGTTGTTTTGCTTATCATTTACTTCTGGGTTATTCACTAAAGTGTGAATTATAAGGAATTCAAAGTGATATTCAGAGTGAATTTTATATTTTAGGCCTAAATAGCGAAAAACACTTTTACTTGGAGATATTTTTTCTAGACGATCATTTCAGCCTTGTTAGGCATCATCAGTGAGGCATAGCTGATATCTCTCTAGGCACCGTGAGCAAGGGGTCCACGTCTGGATTACTCTTTAAACTTATGGAGAGCAAAAAACAGGTCGCAAGAGAATACCGAGAACGGGCAGCAGCTGAAATAGCCTACCCTTCGGTGGGTCCCAGATTGGTTTTCAAGCTGGCTTTAGCGCATCTTGTGCCATTACAGAGGGAACATCTCTGAAACATATCAGACTGGTCCCACCCATATGGGCAGTCCAGATCAAAAATGCCAGCAAGTTCCCTCTGCATGAGAGACACAGCAACCCCACCCTTCTGGGTGGAATCAGTCTGAGATGCATGGTCTGGCTCTCTTTGTAATGGCACAAGATGAGCTAAAGCCAGCTTGAGAACTGAGCGGGGACCCACCGAAGGGCAGTCTATTTCAGCTGCTGCCCATTCTCAGTATTTTCTTGCGACTTGTTTTTTGCTCTCCATAGGTTTAAAGGGTAATCCAGACGTGGACCCCTTGCTCACGGTGCCTAGAGAGATATCAGCTATGCCTCACTGAGGATGCCTAACAAGGCTGAAACGATCGTCTGGGGTTGCTGTATCTCTCGTGCAGAGAGAGCCGATCTGTATTTTGTATCTGTTCTGCCCTTTCGGGTGGAATCAGTCTGAGATGCATGGTCTGGTTCTCTTTGTAATGGCACAAGATGAGTTAAAACCAGCTTGAGAATTGAGCGGGGACCCACCAAAGGGCAGGCTAATTGAGCTGATGTCTGTCCTCAGCACTCTATTGTTACTTGTTTTTTTGCAGTGTTTTTTTATGTTTTCCTTCCCCTCCCCTCGTGTTTGATTTGGTAAGTTTGGTCCCGTGTTAGCGGCCATGCTTAGACATTACCACTATTCTAGCTATATAGGCTTGGAAGGAAATCCTAATAATAAGGCTCAGTGCAGTGTATTAAGTCAGATATAGGAGACTTTAGGTTAACATGAGAGAGGTGTATCAGTACGCAGTGAAGTGCTTGTGGTCATACCTGAAACATGTGTTGCTTACTAGGGTATTAAATTAAAGCGAACCGTGCATCATTGATTGGTTTATCATGTGGGGCAGGATCAGATGGGAGAGATACATAATATTTACATAACTTCCATGTCTGCATGCGAAAGAATGCGCAAGTTGTAATGAAGAACTTTGCCACACGTGAATAGCATTTTGTGCGTAATATATACGGACGCCAGGCATGGGTTGGCTGGTAAGTGTTGTGCGTGTTTGAGAGTATATGCCAAATGTGGATTGCAGGAATCCCTAGAGATCGCTGTGAAGTGTATGCCTGTGATTATTAGACGGGTCCCGGTTTGGCTAAACATTGGTGCTAGGTATTTTAAACATAACGGGTACGCCATCTGTCAAGCATCACAAGGTTAAGCGGGCAAATTCCACTGATTGCATGGATGTGGTTTGGTCTAGAAAGCAAAATCATATCAATATATCATTATGTTAAGCTTATCTGTGATAGGTCTTAGCTAGTAGCATTATAACATTGTCTAATAAGACTAAAGGTAAGTAGGCTAGAAAAATCAATATATAACAAATTAAAAATTAAAACAATAAGGGAGCAATGCCAGCGTAGGTAATTTATACTGTGGATACTATTGCTGCACAGTGTTTCTATGGTATAGCAGTGTTCCCCTTCTTTCCTCCCTTTTCTTTCCCTCTCTAAGAAGAGGGGAGCTGTTCCTGTGTGTCTGTTCGTTGGTCCCTTTGGATGTAGGTCCTCCATCTGTCCACCCTGGCTAGACCTGACCCTCTAGCGGAGCTTTCCGTGATGCCGTAGGCACTCAAAGTCCAGACCCCCTCACCAAAAGTTCACGCTCAGGCTGTCTCCTCCCCAGCATCACACCATGAAGCTTTGCGACTCACGTGTCTCACCCAGCACTGGCCTCACATTTAGGACTGGTGTACCACCCAGGGCCACCAGTAAACCCGGGGGTCAGTGCTCCCCAGTCCCACAGGACTCACTGTGCCAGGGACATCCTTCTCTGGGCCCCCCATAAACCCAGATGCAGGGTCCTGTACAGGGGGTAGGTCACCTGGGGTATCCATCCGAGTCCTCTGAGCTGAAAGTCTCCCCATAGAGGCGAGTAGACTCTTCTGTGGCAGCATACATGTCTGTCTGTACAGATCACCTGGCGGACTGTTCTTTGTGAAGCCTTTGCCAGTGTAGGTGATCGGCTCGGTACCAGCGCGGGGGCTCCCGTCACCATGGAGGCCGTCACCATGAGGCTGGGATAACCCCCGCCGACCATAGGGGGCGAGCAGGGCCGCGCCGCCGGAAAGCACGGCTCATGCGGTATCTGGCTCAGGGCTCTCTCTTTGCCATCCGCCCCGCTTGACTGCTGCATGTGTCCAGGCTCCCCGCCGTGAGTAGGCCAAGGATGTCTGCATCTGCTCTTCCGGCGTGCAATCGATGCCTTGCGGGTATCATTCTGGAGCTGGATGTACGCTCCACTCGTGGCTGCAGTGATGTCGTCTTTAGGACAGTTTGCACCCACTTTTTGTGCCAATTTCTCATGCCTGGGTCCGGAGCTAAAGCTCATGGCTGCCAGTCGGCTCGGCGGCCTGGCCCCGCCCCTCTTTAGCCATTTTTGGCATAATATTTGAAATTTTATTTGAAATTGTGACATACTGTTACTGTTTGTGGGGGAACTCTATGGTCAAGTTTAGTTCCAGTTGACCCGTTGCTTGCTTATTGATTGTATGGGAGTGGAATAAAGGACTGCTCTGTATACCTGCTGTCCAGTAATGCTTGTTTCTGCTCTCCACCTTAAAGGGACACTATAGTCACCTGAACAACTTTAGCTTAATGAAGCAGTTTTGGTGTATAGAACATGCCCCTGCAGCCTCACTACTCACTCCTCTGCCATTTAGGAGTTAAATCCCTTTGTTTGTGAACCCTAGTCACACCTCCCTACATGTGACTTGCACAGCCTTCCATAAACACTTCCTGTAAAGAGAGCCCTATTTAGGCTTTCTTTATTGCAAGTTCTGTTTAATTAAGATTTTCTTATCCCCTGCTATGTTAATAGCTTGCTAGACCCTGCAAGAGCCTTCTGTATGTGATTAAAGTTCAATTTAGAGGTTGAGATACAATTATTTAAGGTAAATTACATCTGTTTGAAAGTGAAACCAGTTTTTTTTTTTCATGCAGGCTCTGTCAATCATAGCCAGGGGAGGTGTGGCTAGGGCTGCATAAACAGAAACAAAGTGATTTAACTCCTAAATGACAGTGAATTGAGCAGTGAAATTGCAGGGGAATGATCTATACACTAAAACTGCTTTACTTAGCTAAAGTAATTTAGGTGACTATAGTGTTCCTTTAAATCTGCACACAGAAAATACTCTAGAAATCCTTTTAAATTAGTTCCTGAAAATTCACACTTTATTGATCAACCCTTTTTATGCCAATTTGACTGCCCCAAGTACATAATGTGGAGTATTCCAGAACTTTCTTGTTATTTTAAATAAAAATATTGCAATTACTTTTTTATATTCTGTGTTTTCATTCCTATTTTTCCTTTTTTCGTACTTGTATTTTTCAGTGTTATCTTGCATTTTTGTCGGACTCACTGTAATTGTTGGATTGTAGAATTGTGCATTTGGTTTGAAATTAGTTTTGGGAGACTGGCGAGTTGTCCGAATTCCATTACACCAAATCGCTGTATGACTGAATTACTAAATAAACGAAACTAATGAACGAACATTTTTGTTTGTTTTGTAATTGGGAGTTCCGTCACTGGTACAAAAATAAATTTTTTCTACTGATCAAGAAAAAGACGATTGATGGCTAGGAGGCAGCCACTTAATATGAATTATATTCACAGAATAATTGAGAAGTGACCAATAAAGGGGGAAGAAAGGAGGAACAGTAAAATAAATCTAGATGTATATATTCATATATTATATATTTACTATAAACACAATTTATAAATAAAGGTTTTTTTTGCTGTTCCTCATTTTTCCCACTATTTGTTACTTCTCACTTGATCTGTGAACCATATTCCGCAAAAATGCGCTTATCAGTGTACTGAAAAATATATAAACTATTTATATTATGTATATATTTTGTAGTACATAATGTATACATGATAGCAGTAAAACAAAACTATATGTATTTATTCATATAGTATATATTTAAAGGGTCACTCCAGACTCTAAAACAACTTACACTTTTATAAATTAACCTGGTTCACCACGAACGGTTCGCAGAGGACTCATCATTGAGTAAACTTTGACCCTGTACCTCACAGTCAATCTAAATACACATTTTTTGCATTTACTTGAGTGCGGTATATTTTTTATTATTTGAAACCAGGAAGTAAGACCTGTTGTCTGCTTGAAAGTCAATGGAGTGTGACCAGTAGTGATGTCCCGAACAGTTCGCGAACGGTTTGCGAACGGTTCACCACGAACGGTTCGCAGAGGAGTCATCATTGAGTAAACTTTGACCCTGTACCTCACAGTCAGCAGACACATTCCAGCCAATCAGCAGCAGACCCTCCCTCCCAGACCCTCCTACCTCCTGGACATCTCTCTAAGAATGCAGCATGTAAAATGGATGCTGTCCAGGAGGTGGGCGGGTCTGGGAGGGAGGGTCTGCTGCTGATTGGCTGGAATGTGTCTGCTGACTGTGAGGTACAGGGTCAAAGTTTACTCAATGATGACTCCTCTGCGAACCGTTCGTGGCGATAGATAGATGGTTTAAAATGTTTCCAAATAGAAGCAATTATAAATATTTGCTAGATATTTTTTAAATCAATTTATTAATTGGCATTTTTAGCTGTATACTATTTATTGCTAAATACATTTATGATGCTGAATTTTACAATGTGTGCAGTATTTACTTATATGATTTTTTTCAGTGTAAGCAGAACAATTTTTTTTCTGTAACATTCAGCCATCTGTGGCTGTCCTGCTGCCTGTTGTCACTTTGATTGTGATTGATGGGCACTTATGCAGGACACACAAAGGGAATATTGTAGCTCTACTGCAGCGTGCTGAAATCATTCAAAGCTATGTCTGTGAGATTGGTGTTCATTACAAATCTATGGCTATATGTTTAATGTGGGCATATTATTATATTAATTTATTAATATATTAAACAGTGCTTATCTACAAATCTGTTTTGCAATTGAAGAAATTTGTCAAAGTGTAGCTGTCAGTTTTAATTCTACATTTATGTAAATATTTAGCAGAATTTATTAAATATGCCTGCTTGGTGTACAGTTATTACTTCATAGACACCATAACCATCATTTTTTAATGTAAACCATTTTTTATTGTAACGCAATGGCTAATCTTCCTAAAAGTGGTCTGTTTCACTTCTAAATTTGGTGGTCTTCAGAAATGTATATTAGACATTTGCATAGCAGAAAAATGTTTCATCCAAATCGATACATTTAGAAAAAAAAAAGTTGATTCAGTCAAAATAAATTTCGTCCATGTAGCCTTTGTATTTGGATACATTTCCCATGCAATCTTTTAAATGAACTGAAATGGTGTGAAAATGCACCTATCAGTGTACATTCATTCCTTAATTTTCTGACACCATGGATTGACTCCGAATCATAAAACAAAGGAAATTGCTCATAGTTACACAGTTTCATAGGCTGAAAAGAGACATTTGTCAATCAAGTTATGGCTTCCCCACATCTGTTTTTTTTCTGTTGATCCAAAAGAAGCCAAAAAAACCAAATTGAAGCACTTCCAATTTTGCAACAAACTAGGAAAACAATTCCTTCTTGACCCCAGAATGGCAGTCAGATGTATCCTTGGATCAAGAAGCTATACCATACAGCTTAAAAATTATATTATTGAATATTAATCCATTGCCCATTTCTTTTGGTATGTGATTCTGTTAAATGTCAATATGGAGTTGCAAAATTCTGATGAATACTCTAAAAATAATTATTACACTCACATTTATGAGAGCTGTTTCAACCTCTGTATGGTACTAATCAGTGGTATAATCCTATTCCTATAAATATCAGAGTTTGCAGGAATCTATGATCTTCAAACTTTCTTTGTCTTAGGGAAGAGCATAACCACCTAGCAAAGTTGGTGGGTATGCGGCAGCCTCCCGGAGTCAAATGAGAGAGCTGAAAAAACGCTTGTGCTGTGCTCCTGCACAGCAACAGCATTTCAGCCAATCAAGTAATCAGCAGAGTCGTGCTGAGCGCGGGAATCCTGATTACCTCAGATTATTTAAATTGTGAAACTGCGGATGGTTAGCTCATCCCACGAAGCACTGAGAATATATATATATATTACCCAAAGGGTAAAGAAACTTAATTACATCTAAACGAAATAAAACAATAAGGGGGGACTTAATGTTCTCCCCCCTGGCCCCCACCCCTGAGCGGTGGGTGGGGGCCATAAATAAAAATCCCCCCCAGGTGACTAGGGTTCCCCAAACCCCTAGTCACCCCCCTCCCTTCCAAAAAATTACCCCTACCTACCCTACTGATCCTAAAAATAATGAGAGTGGACCTTTGTCTAAATACCTGTAAAAAAAAAAATAGACTTACCATTTGATGTCTTCTTTCTTCTAAAATCTTCTTTTTTCAGCCCCAAAAAAGGCCAAATAAAAATCTAGAATAACCTTTGGTAGGTGTTTCTGGTTCTCAAATGAGGGAAAAACACTATTACTCTTTTAGGATCCTGTCTCTTTAATTTTGCGCTTACTCAAACGAGTATGAGGGGAAGGAGGAGCAGAAATATTTTTCTCAGGCAAGGATTTGGCAGAAGGGACCTTTCTTTATTCTTTTTAAGTTAAACTGGGATCATATCCTCCTCAGAAGATGAAGACGATAGATCCCTGGAAAGGAAAGCTCTCTTATGGTGCTTTCTAATACTGATGGGGCTGCCTCTAAGAGAGGCATCCACTAAATCTGTGTCAGACAAAGATATGGAGTTCTCCATCAATGAAGATGTAATTAAAGGATTGGCCAATATTTAGCACTGCCCTGCCGGACGCTTTTAATAAAGCCATCTTAGACGCCAGCAAAGATGAAGCAGAAGGTTTCTGAGCATTGTCTTCTTTTTCTGCTTTATCCAGCATCAGCAATAGTGGGCCCACAGCATCAGCAATTTTAAACCGTATATTATGAAAAGTCTGGTCTGTGGGATCTGTAGATACACTGCTCCCTGTGATAGATAACAGAGCACGATCTACCTTAGGAGCCATGTTCTGATAAAACCTCCATAATGTACCTTTTTCAATTGATGAAAGCGTTCAGAGACCTCACATTTAGAACCGGTCTCCAGGAACCGTCTGATTTTGGGATTGGGAACAACAGACTGACCCATCGTGTAATAGATATATCTGCCAACTCTATCTTACCTTGATTTATAACTAGGGAAAGGGAGTCATATTGCACTGGGTTCACCTCTGTGCCGGGTGCAAACCTCTGAACTGGTAACTATAAAAGGGGGAGTTGTAAACCCAGTTGAAAAATCTTTGCAACCCATTTGTCTGAAAAAATATCCTTCCAATTTAGTGGCATGTGTGCCATTTAAAAAATCTGAGGTAGTCAGGATTCCCGCGCTCAGTACGGCTCTTGTGATTACCTGATTGGCTGAAGTGCTGTTGCTGTGCAGGAGCACAGCGCAGTCATTTTTTCAGCTCTGGCATTTGACTCCAGAGGCTGCCACATACCCACTAACCTTGCTAGGTGGTTATGCCTCCCGGACAGGGCCGGTGCAAGGATTTTTGCCGCCCTAGGGATAAGAAAGATTTGGAATGTAGTGTATAGGGATACCAGTTTGTGTAGGTGATGCAGTGTGTTTGTGTGTAGTGGAAGCAGTATGTTTGTGTGTAAGTGATAGAAAGCAGTGTGTGTTTGTGAATAAGGGATGTATTGTGTGTTTCTTGTTGTGTGTAAGGGATGCATTGTGTGAATCTGTGTTTGTATGCATAAGGGATGCAAAGTGTGTTTCTGTGTATGTAAGGGATGCAGTGTGTGTCTGTAAGGGGTGCGTTGAGTGTGTAAGAGATGCATTGTGTTTCTGTGTGTGTGTAAGAGAAGCAGTGTGTGTTTGCATGTGTGTGTAAGGGATGCATTGTGTGTTTCTGTGTATATGTGCAGAGGATGCATTGTCTTTATGTGTAAGGGTTGCATTGTGTGTGTGTAATGGATGCATTGTGTATTTCTCTGTGTGTAAGGGAAGCATGTCAGTCCGGCCGGACTGACAGGAAGTGCACACTGAGTAGCTCCAATAGAGCACGTCAGGGACATCATGTCTTGCTCCATCCACCAACGTCACGTTGCACCACAGACTGTCCAGGAGTTGGCAGATGCTTTAGTCCAGGTCTGGGAGGAGATCACTCAGGAGACCATCTGCCACCTCATCAGGAGCATACACAGGCGTTGTAGGGAGGTCATACAGGCACGTGGAGGCCACACACACACTACTGAGCCTCATTTTGTTTTAAGGACATTACATCAAAGTTGGATCAGCCTGTAGTGTGTTTTTCCACTTTAATTTTGAGTGTGACATCAAATCCAGACCTCCATTGGTTGAAAAATTTGATTTCCATTTTTTTATTTTTGTGTGATTTTTTTGTCAGCACATTCAACTATGTAAAGAACAAAGTATTTCAGAAGAATATTTAATTCATTCAGATCTAGGATCTGTTATTTTTGTGTTCCCTTTATTTTTTTGAGCAGTGTATATTAGCAGCGTGTTGTTTTTGGAAGCACTTTGACATTTTTTGTTTTTTTAATATTTAATATCAAATGAAATTGTCCAGTAGTAGGGGCTGGTTTAACTAACAGGGTCTAGATACGTAAAAGGTTCAATTAATCTAATATTGAGTAGCCATGTCCTCTTATTAGCAGATTTGGACTGAAATATCCCCAACAAGGATATGGGCCCGCTAATTGATGTAGTTATATTTATCAGACTGAAGAAAGCTTGTGAAATTTTTTTTAAATTTTTTTTTTAAATAAGCACATTTATTAATTAAATATAACTTAAATACAATAAAAAAAAACAATATAACAGCTGCTGAACACTAAAATGTTTCACATTTGGAGGCTTTCTAAAAGTGTCATATACTGCATCAAAATAGTTCAACACCTGTGAGTTTTGAAATAGTTTTAATATGATAGATAAATATGCTAAAACCATTTTTTCACTCTGACCTGGAAATTGCTGAAAATGAAAATGGGAATTGTATATTATAGGCCAACTGGCCAAACAAGGACACTAGCAGAGAGGGGAAATGTTCAATTGTTAATTTTATCTGTATTACTGACAGACCTATACTGTCTATACTGCTTATTCAGCTCCACGAGACAAGTATATGCTTTACTACACGGTGACAAGATGACAATGTGGTAAAATATTTGTACAAGCTCTATAAAGTGTACACTGTCAATCATTCGATAGAAATTCAAAGTGAATTTCACATTTTGGCCAAAATGGTTGGACTTTAACCCCTTAAGGACACATGACATGTGTGACATGTCATGATTCCCTTTTATTCCAGAAGTTTGATCCTTAAGGGGTTAAAAACAGATTACTTTTAGAATTTTTACAGTATGATTGTTTTGGACAAAAATTTTAAATATACTTTGAATTCCTGAAAATAGATTATTTAGTAAAAAACCCTGTGACTGCTTT